GCGCAGGTGGTCAAGGCCGACTCGCCCAAGACCGCGCTGCAGCCGGCGCCCCCGCCGCCGCAGACCCTGGCGGCCAGCTGCCCGGCCGGCGCGGGGGCCGGCATGATCCTCGGGCCAACTATGCAAGGGGCTCTGCCTGCCGCCGCCGCCGCCGGCCTCCCACCGCCGGCCCCCGGTACCCCCACCGGGCTGCCCAAGGGCTCGACCAGCGCGGTGACCCAGAGCCTGCCCAGGACGCCCTCGGCCACCACCGGCGGGATCCGGGCTACGCTGACGCCCACGGTCCTCGCTCCACGCCTGCCGCAGCCGCCGCAGAACCCGACCAACATCCAGAACTTCCAGCTGCCCCCAGGTGAGTGGCCGCGCCGCCGGGCGAGTGCGTTCGTGCCCCGCAGCTGGGCGTCCAGGAAGTTGTCGGGCTGGCAGGATGCGGAGGTCATGGGCCCTGCGTGGGCCTGCTGCGAGCGGGGGTGCGCCTCTGCCCCGGCGCGGGACGGTCCTGGGCATGCGAGTGTGTGTGCGGGAGTGTGTGTGTGATGTGGCAGTGGGGGCCTCCTACCTGGTGCAGTGCTTGGCTCCAGCTTAGTCCTTTGCGTTGCAGAGCTTCTCTGCCAGGACTGCCAGTCCAGCGAGTGGGTCCTTTGCTCCCTTCCTGGCCCTGTGTGCCCCTGCCCAGTCCCTGCACGGTGGAGAGCAGTAGCAGCTGGTGCTCCGGGGACAACTTACTGGGTTATTCAGCCTGGGCCCTTGGCTTTCCCATGCTTGGCACTTCCCTCTCTGATTTCTGGGATCAGGCATGTGGTCTGTGTCCTCATTGAACTCTCCTGCTCGTTTATTGTGCTGGGCTGTGATTGGTGTCCCCTGCCGGTGGGCTAGGGACCCCCCTTTCCTGGTGAGGTCAGCGGAGTGACGCCCCCTCCACGGGGCTGGGCAAGGCTGCACGGAAAGCTTTCGCTGCCCTGCTGACACCAGGATGGCAGAGTTCCCAGGTGAGCCTGGAGGAGTCGCGGGGCACACAGCCTTCCTGGTCGGAGCCCTTGCCTCACGCCTGCTCTGCAGCCGTGTTTCAGCACTCCTCGTAGGCACGGTGTCGTTCTGCACGGTGTCCTCACTTAGAGGACGCCGGTTACTTTGATTATTACCAGTTTAGTCAGCGGTGGGCACGTGCTCTCCCCTCAGCGGGTCCCTCGGAGGTACAGACGGTGCAGGAGGACCGCGAGCCTCCTTGACCCCACGCTCCATCTGCCGTCATCTCGGCAGCTCTTTAGGTCCCCCACGGCATTACGTGTCCCGCTGCTTTGTTTCGGGCTTCCTGGGCAGGGAAACTCGGGCACTGGAGGCTCCCTGTCTTCCCTCCCATGCCCTCCGCCTCGCCTGCGCGGACTCGGGGCGCTCCTCCCCTGCCGTGTAGGAACGTGTGCCGCCGCGCAGGAGTAGTGGAAACAGCGCCTCCTGTGCCTGTGTCCCCCATGCTTTCTGAAAAGAGCGG